TTGTGGCTTTTGATTCAAGAGCAATGTTAAAGTGGCATACATTTAAAGTATACACGCTGTATATGGGTCAGATTAAGATAAATAGGTGAAAGCAAAATCAATAATTAAAAAGATTTAGAATTTTTGACGAAGCCTGTCATAGAATAAACAAGCCTACAAATTGATTATATAATAACAATTCCGGGATACTTATTAAAACAAAAATTTAAATGAAATAATTTCCAAATAAGAATAACGCGGCAAGGTCTTCCGGTTTAGAATTTAACGTAATTGGTATGAAAGATTCCAACGGTCGAGAAATGTATTTAACAAGCTCTTTTTTAAAGCTGAAGAATGTAAATCAGGTTATTCTACATTATAAAGTTAGCACATGTATAGTAATTATGGCATTTCAATACGCAAGGATGTAAAAAGTTTATTTTATTCATTTTTCCAACCATGTAGTAATGACACAGAGGTGTGTCATTGCCAAGGCGTGAAATGGCGACATAAATACGACAAGGAGGATTGATCCTCTACCTTAATGGAGGGGCACTGGAACAATAACGCCTCGTTACATAAGAAGGGCTTGGTACAACTTCTCGAACTTTTCGAATGTTAAGAAACCTTCAATATGGTAAATGGATGACAGGAATTACAGTTCATCAATTTTGGAGCTCGGGATGACTTTGTTTACTTAACGACGTTTATAAATTCATCCAGTGATATGGAGAGCAGGGAATAATGAATGGCAAAGGATGCGGAAGGAAGATGTGGCTAAGGTGTTATTCCGGCAATTTCCTGGCACTACTGAAGAAAATCAAGATGGACTTCAATCGGGGTAGATGGTCAGAAAATTTAGATTTTTATTATGGGCTTATGAAATATGAATTAGGAGTTCTAATTACTGGACTGCGACGTTCGTTCTCTCAGAAAATCAAAAATCTAAATTGGGCTGTTTACCGTTTTGTGGGGATTTTTTGATAACGGTGATACACCTTTAGATTCCAACGAAATAGGACAAATGTAGGATAACTTCACGTCGGTCAGAGAACAACGCATATAACAAGCCATGCAGTCGGTTAACTTGTAAATAATTCAGTTAGCAGGCAAACAGAATGTGACTATCCTTTAGGGTTTCGTAGATTATCATTTTCACTCTGAAGAGGGCGGAAATATGTGTACACATTTTCGTCAGTGGGGCTCTGCTGGCTCTGGTAATGGGTAGCGTGATATTCGTGATTATCAAATCACTACTCACGCTGGAATACAAACATAGTTCGCAATGAAGAAAATAGGTACATATACAGAATTCTGGTAAGAAAATAATAACTTATTAGATGCTTTTAAAAACAAAGATACAAAACATTTTCAAACATGATCACTTAATTTTATTCAAGCTAGTGCAATGTCATTCCCCATCTTTAGGACTTTCACGGTAAAATATACGCATCACTCACCGAGCTGTATTACATACTCGTAGGGAGGGACTTTTACCAAGGACATCCAATGCTTGTGTCTATATAAATGTTGGAATTTCTTATGTTTTGTGATTATTTAAGTGAAGTTAAATCATTAATCATGCAGCTTTGCAATCTCTACGTAGCCTGCACTGTAATCTTCAGCGTTGGCGCTCTCAAATAACGTAAGTAATATAAAATTGTTAAAATATGGATCATCCGTGACTATGTTTTGTATTTCCCTCTTCGCCACCAATTCTATATCATTCATATTCTGTGGCTACTGGAGATAAAGCGGCCCGGAGGTGAAGATTATCACTTGAAACTTATCTAAAACTCAGGCCAAGAAAGAAGAACTTTCACGCGTTTTTATGAAGTAATGCGTAGGTTAAAGGACACCTTTAACCGTCATTTATCTATAAGAAACTGTATAACAGGAATAACTGAAAGTCTCGGTTAAGTAATTAGCGTTCCTGCTTCATAACCAATAACACTTTGTTCAAGCCCCGGCACAGGAACAAAACATTCTGACCGAGTTTCTTAGTGGTTTTTGACAATTCGTGCAGGAAAATACCGGACAAATCATTAAA